AAGGCAGGAGAAGTGAACAATCCTGGCCAAAGTAGCTGATTTGGAAAAATTCTCCAATTCAGCTCTCTTTCCAGTTCAGCTATGTTCTCCTAGATTGTTCCCTTCTCCTGCCTTCTCCTAGATTGTTCACTTCTCCTGCCTTCTCCTAGATTGTTCACTTCTCCTGCCTTCTCCTAGATTGTTCACTTCTCCTGCCTTCTCCTAGATTGTTCACTTCTCCTGCCTTCTCCTAGATTGTTCACTTCTCCTGACTTCTCCTAGATTGATCACTTCTCCTGCCTTCTCCTAGATTGTTCACTTCTCCTGCCTTCTCCTAGATTGTTCACTTCTCCTGACTTCTCCTAGATTGTTCACTTCTCCTGCCTTTTCACTTCTCCTGCCTTCTCCTAGATTGTCCACTTCTCCTGACTTCTCCTAGATTGTCCACTTCTCCTGACTTCTCCTAGATCAATCACTTCTCCTGCCTTCTCCTAGATTGATCACTTCTCCTGCCTTCTCCTAGATTGTTCACTTCTCCTGCCTTCTCCTAGATTGTCCACTTCTCCTGACTTCTCCTAGATTGTCCACTTCTCCTGACTTCTCCAAACTCTTCACCCTTTTGTGAATAACCCTGTACGTTCATTAAAAAAAAAAATGTATCACAATAATTAATTTAAAAAAATGCTAGGTGCAATTCTTTATGTTGCACAATATTTCCACAAGGTTTATCAAATCAATATTTTTAGGAAAACACAATAAAATGAATTTTAGTGCACACAAACAGAATATAATAGACAATTTTTTGGGTAAAATGCAAATGCGTCGGAATAGACGCATCTGTCAAGGACAGTCTGCATGTAATCGTACATGGTATTATTACATGCGGTTCAGGATAGATGATTGTCTCTGGACGCAGTCAGATCTCATCCAGGGACAATCATCTATCCCGAACAGTATGTAATTGCCCCATATATAATTACTTGCTGACAGATGTGGCCCCTGTCAGCCTGTCATTCACTTGAATGGGCTCAGCAGCTGCATGTGCCGCAAGAATTCATAGACCAGGGGCGGCCACAATTTTTCGCCTGGAGATCTACTTTTCAAATTACGAGCTCAATGAAATCTACCAATAAAAAAACACCTTTATTTAAAAAAAGAAGCGCATTCAAATTGTTACTGAGACTGCTACCTCTCTCTATCTGGCGCTCTCTTCTCGCTCTCCCCCTGTATCTCTCTCTCTCTGCTGTCTCTCCGTGGGCCAGTTCACACCACAAAGTCTACATTCCAGAGTGTTCGGCCTCTGAAACACACTTGAACGCAAGCCGGCCAGCTTCTGCGTTCATGGGCGGGTGATGGCGTGGCGGTGCATTGCAGTCAATGGCACCACAGCCACACCCCCGCCTGCAGTGCGATCGCCTGCACCTGGAACACAGGCACATTAGTGTCTGCGTTCCGGTCCAGTGCAAAAATTCTGCAAGCACTATGGACTGGAACGCAGGCATCAATGTGCTTGCGTTCCTGGTGCAGGCAATCACACTGCGGGCGGGGGACGTGGCTGCGGTGCCATTGACTTCAAAGCACCACCACTCCCCTTAACACAGGAGACGGCCGGCTTCGCTCCAGTGCGTTCCAGAGGCCGAACGATCTGAAACACAGACTTTGTGGTGTGAACCGGCCCTCTCTCTTGGCTGTCTCTTCTCTTTACTCGCGCTCTCTCTCGTCACTCTCTTTCTGCTGTCTCTTCTCTCTCTGCTGTCTCTTCTCTCTCTCTCTGCTGTCTCTTCTCTCTCTCTCTCTCTGAGGTCTCTTCTCTCTCTCCCTGCGGTCTCCTCTCTCTCTGCTGTATCTTCTCTCTCTCTGCTGTATCTTCTCTCTCTCTGCTGTATCTTCTCTCTCTCTGCTGTCTCTTCTCTCTCTCTGCTGTCTCTTCTCTCTCTCCCTGCAGTCTCCTCTCTCTCTCTCTCCCTGCGGTCTCCTCTCTCTCTGCTGTCTCTTCTCTCTCTGCGGTCTCTTCTCTCTCTGCTGTCTCTTCTCTCTCTGCGGTCTCTTCTCTCTCTGCTGTCTCTTCTCTCTCTCTCTGCTGTCTCTTCTCTCTCTCTCTCTCTGAGGTCTCTTCTCTCTCTCCCTGCGGTCTCCTCTCTCTCTGCTGTATCTTCTCTCTCTCTGCTGTATCTTCTCTCTCTCTGCTGTATCTTCTCTCTCTCTGCTGTCTCTTCTCTCTCTCTGCTGTCTCTTCTCTCTCTCTCTCTACTGTCTCTTCTCTCCCTGTGGTCTCTTCTCTCTCTCTCTGCGGTCTCTTCTCTCTCTCTGCTGTCTCTTCTCTCTCTCTGCTGTCTCTTCTCTCTCTCTGCTGTCTCTTCTCTCTCTCTCTCTGATGTCTCTTCTCTCTCTCCCTGCGGTCTCTTCTCTCTCTCCCTGCGGCCTCCTCTCTCTCTCTGCTGTCTCTTTTCTCTCTGCTTTATCAACTGTCTCTTCTCTCCCTGTGGTCTCTTCTCTCTCTCTCTGCGGTCTCTTCTCTCTCTCTGCTGTCTCTTCTCTCTCTCTGCTGTCTCTTCTCTCTCTCTCTCTGATGTCTCTTCTCTCTCTCCCTGCGGTCTCTTCTCTCTCTCCCTGCGGCCTCCTCTCTCTCTCTGCTGTCTCTTTTCTCTCTGCTTTATCTCCTCTCTCTCCCTGTGGTCTCTTCTCTTTCTGCTGTCTCTTCTCTCTCTCTGCTGTCTCTTCTATCTCTCTGCTGTATCTTCTCTCTCTCTCTGCTGTCTCTCCTCTCTCTCTCTCTGCGGTCTCTTCTCTCTCTCCCTGCGGTCTCCTCTCTCTCTGCTGTCTCTTCTCTCTCTCTGCTTTATCTTCTCTCTCTTTGCTGTCTCTCTTCACCCGCACTGCAGCACGCCCCTTCCCATCTGCAGCGTCTGACACATTCAGCCGCACTAGTACCCAGGTGGGCTGGTCACACCTCTGCACACCTCTTACCTCTCAGCCCCGATCTGCTGTCCACCTCCTCCTTCTCCTTGGTCGCTGGCAGGCCCCACCTCCTCAGTCACTGGGCCCGCCCCCTCTTCCGTTGTCGGGCCTCGCCTCCTCCTCTGCTGCCGATGCCGGGCCCAGCATACTCCTCCGCAGCTGCTGGCTGTCACTGACTCAGCAACGGCTGTGCGGAGGAACACGCTACTGCACAGATTTTCACTGGCCGCTAATGTAACAAAGGGTATTCTCACTGACTGCCAATGTAACAGAGGTATTCTCACTGACTGCCAATGTAACAGAGGTATTCTCACTGACTGCCAATGTAACAGAGGTATTCTCACTGACTGCCAATGTAACAGAGGTATTCTCTTTATTTGTAATTAGAGCCACCAATTCATAAGCAAATGTCAGGGCGGAGCCTATTTTCAGTGAGCCCCTATCTTAATTCAGCCCTGGCCCTGGGCCCCCTGGTTGCCCGAGTCTGCCTGACATCTTGTGTCCAGGTTTCAGCTACCATGAAATCCGGACACAGCATTCAAAACCCGGACCCTGCAGGTGAATCGCGCATATGCGGCAACCCTAACTCCTGTGCGTAATGTGTGTACAGGGGGATTGTCGTACTCAGTGTCATGGCTCCTGTGTGTATTGTGTGTACAAGAGGATTGTTATACTCTATGTCACGGCTCCTGTGTGTAACGGTGTACAGGGGTATTGTCATACTCAGTGTCCCGGATCCTGTGAGCAATGTGTGTACAAGTGGATTGTCATACTCGGTGTAACGACTCCTGTGTATAACATGCGTATAGGTGGATTGTCATACTTGTTGTCACAGCTCCTGTGTGCAATGTGTGTACAAGAGGATTGTTATACTCTGTGTCATGGCTCCTGTGTGTAATGTGTGTACAGGTGGATTGTCATACTTGTTGCCATGGCTCCTGTGTGCAATGTGTGTACAGGGGGATTGTCATTCTCGTTGTCACGGCTCCTGTGTGTAGCATGTGTACAGGTGGATTGTCATACTCATTGTCCCGGCTCCTGTATGTAATGTGAGTACAAGAGGATTGTTGTACTCTGTGTCATGGCTCCTGTGTGTAATGTGTGTACAGGTGGATTGTCATTCTCGGTGTCACGGCTCCTGTATGTACAGGTGGATTGTCATACTTGTTGTCATGGCTCCTGTGTGCAATGTGTGTACAGGGGGATTGTCATACTTGTTGTCATGGCTCCTGTGTGCAATGTATGTACAGGGGGATTGTCATTCTCTGTGTCACGGCTCCTGTGTGTAACGTGTGTACAGGGGCATTGTCATACTCTGTGTCACACCTCCTGTGTGTAACATGTGTACAGATGGATTGTCATGCTCTGTGTCACGGCTCCTGTGTGTAATGTGTGTACAGGTGTATTGGCATACTCTGTGTCCCGGCTTCTGTGTGTAATGTGTGCACAGGTGTATTGGCATACTCTGTGTCCCGGCTTCTGTGTGTAATGTGTGTACAGGTGTATTGTCATACTCTGTGTCCCGGCTCCTGTATGTAATGTGTGTACAGGTGGATTGTCATACTCTGTGTCCCGGCTCCTGTATGTAATGTGTGTACAGGTGGATTGTCATACTCTGTGTCCCGGCTCTGTGTAGTGTGTGTAGAACAGGTGGATTGTCCTCTGTGTCGCCACTCCTGTGTGTAATATGTGTACAGGTGGATTGTCATACTCTGTGTCCCGGCTCCTGTGTGTAATGTGTGTACAGGTGTATTGGCATACTCTGTGTCCCGGCTTCTGTGTGTAATGTGTGTACAGGTGTATTGTCATACTCTGTGTCCCGGCTCCTGTATGTAATGTGTGTACAGGTGGATTGTCATACTCTGTGTCCCGGCTCCTTTGTGTAACGTATGTACAGGTGGATTGTCATACTCGTTGTCACGGCTCCTGTGTGTACAGGTAGAGGCAGGTTGAACATTACCTGTTGCTATGTGAGAAGTGGGAGGTGATGGAGGACGGATGTCACCGTATACCTGTCACTGAGTTCTGTCCCTCCTCCTCCTCTATAGAGTTTGGAGATGTGTGTACTCACATATGGTTAATAGTGCACACAAAGGCAAGGAGAGCAAGTGCAAAGGCTACGTTCTGCTACGCTCTATCTCTAATCCCCCCTCATGATCACTGTGTTCTTCACCGCCCTCCCCGGGCTGCTGCTGCTGCCTCTCCTCATCAGCTTCATCTTCCCCTACATCTTCCAGGACATCGCCAATTTCATCACTGTCATACGATTCGGGATCAGGACCAGGAAGAATGCCAGTAAGATCCCAGCCTACACCATTGTGGACATATTCCTGGATAAGGTGGAGAAGTCTCCTGACAAACCCTTTATCCTCTACCAGGACGAAGTGTACACCTACTCCGAAATAGACAAGCTCAGCAACCAGACAGCGAGAGCACTGCGCAAGCATGCCGGGGTCAAGTCGGGGGACTGTGTGGCCCTATTCATGAGCAATGCCCCTGCTTACATCTGGATCTGGCTCGGGGTGGCCAAACTGGGCTGCTCATTAGCCTGCCTCAATAACAACATCAGAGCCCAGTCATTTCTGCACTGCTTCCGATGCAGCGGAGCAAAGATCATCCTTGCAGAGCCAGGTGAGTGTAGTTCTCTTGTCACGTGACACGGGCCAATGTCTCTGGGTGTGTGTACTGCTAACTGACAGATCAGTGCGGTCACTGACAGCCAAAACAAATCAACAAATGGCGCTCACTCAATAGAGTTCAGAGCTGCTGCAAAGTTTGGTCTGCAGCATATTTTTGTAGACATTCTAATGACAACTGAACTGTGTTCTGCCATAATCTGTATGTACGGTATTTGTAAGCCCCCAATCACCCTGGAGCGTGAGCGTCTTCAGGCAATTTTGAAGCTTTTTTCCACATTTTGAAGGTTTTTGTTTCAACCAATAGGAAGCTGGTTACTAATTTATAGACACAAAGTCATGCACAAAATATTTTTAGGCACTCCCATTAAACCTATAAAGCCAAAAATACAGAATTCTGCCCCCAATAAAAGCTAACGTCTCTTCTGAGCTTCAAGCTACAACACATTGCTCAGGTGTGAACGGGTCGGGTACAACTCCAAATAATCAGATACATAATGCTTCTTGAAACACAAGAAACCGCTCAGGTGTGAGTGGCGGCTAATTATTTAAACATAGCGGAATCCTGTTGAATTTTGGGTTGGTAAGACACTTACCAACATGCTGGAAATATTATTTGATTTATTTATTAGGAAAGCCACTGCGTGAAAGAATAGTTTACTGTGTGGATGGAGGAATCTCCCCCTGGGCCAAGCTTCAGTATCTTACTAGTCGGCCCTGCTGGCTCTCAAAAAACCTGAGCAATGCCTCCATCCAATCAGATTGTTCAGATACTGAAGCTTGGCCCAGCGGCAGATTCCTCCATCCACACAGTTTAGCGTAGATGGAGGAATCTGTTGCACTTTTTCCATCTGACCATTGAAAGTCTGCAGAAAATCTCTAGGTGTATGGTCAGCTTTAGTCTGCATTAATAGATGTCCTGCTGCACTCCCTACCAGATATCCCAGGAACAAGATGGGTGCTTGTAGTGAGCGCTGATGGCGCCGCTTGGATCTGAACTTGAGTATAAGGTCACCAGCACACTGAAGTAAAGTGTCCAAAGAAAACGTCTATTTATTGACGCATATATTGTCACTTAATTAGGTGCAACGTTTCGGGGCCACACAGGGTCCCCTTCATCAGGCTGAAAAATGACAATGTGTGCATAATGCCTGCAATTGTTTCACACATTGTCATTTTTGAGCCTGAAGAAGGGGACCCTGTGACAATATATGCGTCAATAAATAGACGTTTTCTTTGGACACTTGATTTCGGTGTGCTGGTGACATTATAATCATGTCTTGGACTGCAGACGCAGAACGCAGGAGGCATAGACGCACACAAATGTGCTGCAAAGCTTTTCTTAATGTAAGCTTGGCTGCTTTATGGCAGATACACACCTTATGTTGTCAGTTACATTCTCCCTCAGTATAGCTGCCAAGCTTTTCTATCAGTTTAGGGGATGTTATAAGGCCTGCTCACACCTATCCATTGCGGTTACACACATGCAGTGTACATACGTTGCACATGCATTGCATTATGTAGCCCATTCATTTTGAATGGGCCATAACGTACCAAAGATGCTGCATGAGACAATTTTCTTAACGCAATGCAGCACTGCAATGCCCAGATTGCTCATATCTGTGTACTATGGTGCGTTATAACGCACATACACTGTGGTGCATTAGGGTGCTATTCAAGATTAATACCTAGGCAACACACTGCACTGTGGTATATGTACTGATGTGCAGTTGTGGGAACGCATGGTAAATCACAGGCCCACACTGAACACTTGCCAGCAGGGCCGGATTTTCCACAAGGCCACCGGGGTGTAGAATCTCCCGGTTCCCAGGACATGCATTTCCGGGCGCCGGGCAGGTATTTGTTTTCTACATTTAGCCCTGCTTTGGGCAAGCAGGGCTAAATGTAGAGTGGGGAAGCCGCTTGTTCATTTACAAGTGATCTCAGCAATGTCACCAAAAATCACTTGTAATAAGACTGCAGTTACGTCCTCCCCCCGTCCGTTCTCCGCTCTGCTCCATGTAAACAGTGAGAGGTTTCCCCTCTCACCTGTCACAAGAGTTCCAGCACAGTACTGTGCTATAACTCCTGTATTGGAAGTGACAGGTTCAATAAAGAGAACCTGTCACCTCCAAAAATGCTACCACACAGGGGCTTGTTAGGTGTGATAGCAATAAAATTAAGAGGGGGAAAAAAAATAACAATCGAAGAAAAAAAATATTAAGTAACTA